GAGACATGTGCAACTCCCTAGTGGTTTGCGCTCAACTTGTGAATGAAAGTATTTGCAAAAGTGTTTACCAATGGCACAACAGTTCAATCATGTCCACGTCCTCGTTTGTTATTCTCTCATAGCCATAGGGATCTATGACCCGTTTTTCGTACACAAGCTGGTACTTTTTCTTCTGACTGAGTGTGGCCAATAAGTACTCTTTGGAGTTTCGGGCGATGCGATAAGGGTTGTAAGTATCAGTTTGTCGCGTTTTCTCGAGAGGGCGTCCAATTTCGTCTAAACCATTTTGCCGCAACACTTGGTAATTTACCTGCTTGACACCTTCACTGTTTAAAGAGACTCCCCTCACTTTGCATTCTTCTTTTTCTTTCTTCGTGAAGTAGCCATAATTTTTCGGTCGCCCGGATGCAAATTCAGTGATGAAATCGTCTTCTCCCAACTCGTCCTTGAAATCACCGAGAAAGTCGTCAAGGGGAGGATTGTTTTCATGAGGTAAACTGGAAAAAATAATGCTGTCGGTGTCTGTGTGCTGTACTCGTTCTTGTAGCATGTCCAGAGCTGCATACAAACGAAGTCGAGCCCAACATTTCGTGAAACAAGCGATGAAAATGTTGAGGCTTGGTGAGACAGGTTCGTCATTCGATTCCTTATTTGGTCACAATATCCTATGATTGGTCAGAATAGCAAAGGCAGGAAAATCAGGACGCTGTCAAACTAGTTTGACGGCGTCCTTCACAAAGGTTGATTTCCTTATTTGGTTACAAAATGCTGTGATTGGTCAAATATGATGTCATGCTATTGAAACGTGCTGAGCGGTGATTGTCTGATAAATTCCATATAACGTGTGGACCTATTCATCTCCTTTACTCGCAACAATCGTTTGGTTTGAGCGCATCCAGAAAAAGGGAGAAGAAAGAAGAAACAGTATGACAGGCGAACCAGGGTTAGTAGGGAATGGCGGCGTTCTAAAATCCTACATACTTTATGTAGGTAAAAAACAAACGGCTCTTTTAGGAGCCACCACATTAATAAAAGTCAATGAGCCAACATGCTTTCCCGAGTTCTTTTAATTTTGTGCTCGAGCACGTGGAGACGCGCATTTATTATTCACAAAATCGATTATCGATCATCAAAACTGCAGCGTCATAAAATTCAGTTTGACAGCGTCCTCAAAACCAACAATGAATTTGATTGATGAACCATTCTTGACGGCTGTCCGTTCTATTGAGAACGCGGAACAAGACAACGATTCTCAAGAGGTAATAAATATAACTTGAAATGGGAGTATATGTCGGGCGAACACAAATCCGTACCATTATTTTGAAATAGGTCGTTGAAATTGAATGGAAAAGATAACTTCATACTTTAACTTACATGATTTAATCAGACCTGGAATTTGAAGACGGCTAAGGGTTTTGAAAAGAAATTATTTTGACTTTGAATTAGGTCACTAAATTGAATGGAAAGGATAACCCTTTGTGCTTTTCAATACCACTACATGATTTAATCACAACGTGGAATTTCAAGGAGGGTATGAGCATTGAATAGAAACTCTTTTGATTTTGAATAGATCACTGATAATGAATAGAAACGATAATGAACCTTTGTGTTTTTTATATCAATACGTGATTCAATCAGACCTGGAATTTGAAGACGGTTACGGGTTTTGAAAAGAAGTTCTTTTGATTTTGAATAGCTCGCTGACGGACTTGAAGAAATTCTACCAGTATACAAGAAGTTACACTAGACGGATTTATAATAAGCAAAACTATAGTGTTCACTCGATCGTATTTTATAAACCTTTGAGTTACAATGGAACCGTTACCCCTAAATTTAAGTTAAGCGCGCGATGCAAATAATTTGTCCCATTGGCCGCGGGATAACGTAATTTGCATACGGGTTGAAAACTTAACGCAGGAATGTGACAATGGACTATTATCTTAAACGTTGAATGATTAGACTCTGTTATCTTACCTGAACAGGCTATTATCTTTTAAGGCGAATTGAACGGACACTTAAAAGACTAATGAAGGCATTTGTCTTCATGCGAGTTGTGTAATTATTATTTATCTATAGGAAAAAAATAAGAGTAATGCAAACGTGGGACTAAAAAGCCCGGGGGTGTAGCGTCAATGCCTAATTGTCTACTGATCAGCTGTCTGCAAAAGGCCATCTTCTAAAATGCTGACAAGTCAAATAAACTTCTCGAGTGGCCTGCGCGTGTGAATGTAATTATGATAGACCAATTACGTCATAAGTTACTTCATTGGTGGTTGAAAATATGATGTCATTTTTCTGTAATATGACTGGATGTTGGAAATGTGCTGCCATTTCCTGAAATGTGATTGGTTAATGACACGAATAAAGTTGGCACTCGCTAGATGGAAATCGTTTGCAGATGGTGGACTCCTGACTAAACTTTTGTTTCTCTAGATAAGATTTTCGCGCCATGTCCAGTTTTTTGCGCCATGTCAAGCCACTTTGAGGGCAAGCTCATTTTGTCTACGGCAAACTCACATTATGGCCTGGACACAGTACGCGTGCTCACGAGCGATGAAACCATCCTTTTAGCATACGCCGTAGAAACCGAAATCATGAAAGGTTCAGTAAATGAGTATATGTTCCCTAAGCTCTCTCTTCTTGATTCAATTTATTACTGTGATGCAGCCGGCACTTTTTGTTTGGCTAAAACAGATACTTAAACAGATACTTAACTCAAGAACGTTTCCAGTTCCGGATTCTAAAAGACACGTCCTTTGCAAATCACCTTGCGAACTAAAGTCACTTGAATACAAAATTACTTTCTCGCGAGTGAAAAGTTGATTTGGGGAATTTGGGTGGGGGAGGGGTGGGGGGAGGGAGGGGCGGGGTGCAAATGAGTTTGCCGTAAGCATAACGACTATACACTCACGGTAGTGCGTAAATGACATTGTAAATAACAGCGCCGTATTCCTCCTCTTTGGGAAACATTTCATTCAAACAAG